TCAGCCCATTCTGTTCAACATCTACTGACTTGTCCTATTCTTTGTACAATCTATGAGCATGAGATGGTCTGGAAAATGCACAGCCCCTTTTCGGAGCAAAGACTTTGTAGGCCGTGCAACAGAGTCATCCAGGATCATCTTTAATAGAGAGAATTGCAGTTAGCGTCCGACGTGCCGCCATTGTGATTGCTCTGTGCTCTTTCCAATTCGTAGCGATCAACTATCTACCATACACTGCAAAATGTCCCGATACAGTTAGCAAATCGAGAAACTTGCCGACATTAACAGTCATGCGCCTCCGACAAACTTTCGTTCCATATTTAACGGGACTTATGACATGAGCGCATTTGCCATCAAAAAGGCACTTCGCTTTGGGAGACAAAATTGAATGCTTACAACGATTCTGAATTGTTTACCCCATCGTCCTGTTGCCTCTAATGGACAGAAAGCTCCCTGACGACGAAAAGGGGCAGTGGCTCGTTTCGTCGACCAGAATTGATACAAAAGCTGTATGCATTGTTTTCGAATTCTTATGACGTCACCCGTATATCCCTCCCCCCCATTTAAAGGGTTTTGAAAACGTTACACTCGTTAATACTTACATCCTCCGCCCCCCCCACCCCCCCAAAAAAAATTGGCCAAGACGTCTTAACTAACTTTTAACTGACTTCTTTTATGTGGCAATTCTAGCCGTGCCAGTCTACATTCCTCATTATGTCAAGATTCGACAACCGTATTTTCCTCAACACTTGTCTCGATGCGTCTTTTGAGCACGTTCAAATCAATTACTCTGGGTTTTTCATGTCGAGAACGAGGCTCCATCGGCTGGATCAAATCGTCCTATTTTACAAGGTCTCCCAACAACCCACTCAAACTCAACGCAAGTGTTGACCAAATTTGGGCGAGAAATTACGTTTCGCGGGGTCTCGCGTATAAGGTCTATTTGTTTCGGAATTATATTGTTTGCGTTGCCGCCCTTTTTCTTATGCGTTCTAATGCTCGCTCATACTTTACCTTTCAACCTATGCTGTCCTCCATCTTAGGCGCCTGTAGCATTGAAATGAACTTACGTAACAGGGCTTGCGTGACAGCCCGATGGAGCTCCACGACCTCCTAATAATGGAATTTTATAGCCTAAACGTCGCTTTCCAGCTAT